CTTAAGCTATTACAATAAATCTTTTCCTTTAAAATAACATTTGTGTATGTTATCATGTTTTAGCCACGGTGTTGCTTACGGGAGGGAAGCTAATGTGAACATAATGAATATGAGGCTCATAGACACCAACTCTTCTCCCACATGGGAGAGGTAGCTAATCAATCATAGGATTCTTTGCCCAGACAGACTCTGGAGTTTTGGACTTCAAGTATCCATTACTCATCAGTGGGTAACAGCGTTCACGCTGAAGGTTATTTCTTTTCCTTGCTGTTGGAGCATGGCCACTGTCCTTTAACCAACCACATATGTGAACAAAGGTTTTAACCTGTTCTGCTACCTTGAGGGACAGTTGCACGGTCAAAAGCATAGATTTTTGGGAGTGTGCTTTCTAATCTTTGCAATATCAGCCACACACTGCTTAAGGAATCGTATAAGTCTGTCTATAACATGAAAACGTCATTCCCCAGTTGATCTCCATCTTACTCTCCCCACACATAGTTAATGTGTTTTGCAAATGTGGGGCTTTGAGAAACATTTTTTTGTTGTTGTTTTATTAAAACTGCACACACCTGTATGCCTTTTGAATGCAACAGAGGTGGAGGAAGCTGGAAGACTGGCATCTGGCTCATCATTAGGGTTTTCTGCTTAGTTGGAGGCTGTATGATTAGTAGCCCCTCTTCTCAATTATAGGGGTATTATACTTGTCTTCCTTTGGCCATAGATGGGAGATATCTATGTGTGGAATGCAAATTTGGGTTTTGTGAACGCTACTTCCAAAATTAGCCAGGAGCTGATTGGCGGAAATCACAATGGGGTAACAAGCACTTGAGGGTTCAGGAATCTGTGAAAGAAAGGCTGAGCCATGGCAGAGTAAAAACCAGAGAGATCTGGAATTAATTAAGAGCAATCACTGGGAGAGCAGTCATTCATAGAAGCAGATTTGAGCCAGCCAGCCTGGAAGCCAGCTTCAAAGACGGATGCAAACAGGAGTAAGCACTTCGCTGACTTTGCCGAATGCGGGATGAGAGTAAGAAGCAAAGATTATGCCCCAAATTGCACAAAGTACATTCTCACCACATCTCCAGTGCTTTCTACCGGCACCAGGTCTGTACCATCGTGAATCTATTTCCATTTTTGTTGTGATATCCTCAAACACAGAACTCTAGATCTCTCTGTTTTTCTAGAAACCGATAGGGCCAAGTACCCAGGAATTGTTTACTACACTGAGTAGAGCTGAATATTTTATTATCTGAAGGATGATATGGGTGATTCAGAGGGCAGGAATAGATATTCAGAACAGCATTTTTTTCTCTTCATTGTTATATCAGGAGTGATCATAATGACCACAGGAAAATGTGTTCTTAAGGAAGAGGAACTTGTTCAAGACAAGCCCTTAGGGGAACAGCAGGCACTTTTTAGCCCAAATGAACAACAGGAAGCCCAAAGGCAGAAAGCATATAGAACTTAATTATGTGCTTCCTAACCATGCTCACCTAGGCTATAATCGGCACTGCAAAATAAACATTGCTATCCTCAAAGGAGGAACGAGTTAAAAGGACAGGCAAGGTCCCCACTTCTCCATTCTGGAGTCGATGCAGAGAGGCGAAATGAGAAGCCAGTCACATCAGCTCTTGAAGATGTTCCATCTTCTCTACACTGTGTCTACAGTGCACTGTGTGTGTGTG